CAGGAGATAGATGGGCTCCAGGCTAGGCATTTACAACTGGCCTCCTTTTTACATTGCTTGGGGTAGGAAAAAGGTGGGCTTTAGGCCAGACCCTTACAACTAGCCTCCTGTTTGCATTTCCTGACACAGGAGTTAGGTGGACTCCAGGTTAGGCATTTACAGTCAGCCTCCTGTTTGCACATTGAAATAGAAATAACAACAGAAACAGGGTAGGTAGCCAGGCTTTGTCTCCTGAGGACACTTTACGATAACAGTCATGGCAGGAACAGAGAGGAGCTAAACCCTGTTTGAATAAAAGATCAAACATATCTTCCATCCTTGGGGCAAGGGAGACATTGCACATGTGCAGAAAGGCTCCTGGGGGGTCAAAAAGGAGGGGGCACCACCCCAGAATAGGTGATGCCAAGGCCCCGCATAGGCCTCTGGGCTGGAATCCATCTTGGAAAAAAGTTGTGCATGCATGTTGGGGAGGGTCCTAGGGCAGGGCAGATGTGGAAAAAGAAATCAGGTAATTGGCCAAAGGTAAACAAAGACCCGAAGGACTGCCCGATGTAAATGATTTAACCACCACTTTACTGCACTCCTCCTCACTGCGGGGACGCCCACACCCTTTCTCTCCGGGTGTGCATCTCAGCCTTGCTTCTGTCTTAACAAACTGTTTCTGTGTGTGCTCTCCTACTTGTTGTGCTATGTCTCTAATAATAAACTTTGTACCTGTTTTTACAGTTTTTGCCTCCTTGAGAAATGCATTTTCAGTGGGGGCAAGGGCTAAGGAAAATTTGCCTCTAGCATCTGGCCCTTGCTGGTCTGGTGGCTAGGATTCCTGGTTTTCATCCAGGCTACCCAGGTTCAATTCCTGGGCAGGGAACTAAGATCGCTTCAGGCCACTGCTCACTGCTGCTGTCTCTCCGAGATCACCTGGAGGGAGCAAAATGTCTCCTGCGGTGATGTAGTATGTCGTTTGGAGGGAAGTAGACAGGACTTCCTAAGAGCAATCATACATACTCAGTTCATTAGAAGTGCCTTGAATTTGTTAGAGAAAAAGACATTTTCCTCTACCCTTCTAAGTTCTTTGGGCTCATCTAAGAATTAAATTGACGTGAGATAGACTAACAGGAGAAAAATCTAAGTTTAATAACCTGTGTACATGGGAGAGGATCCAGGAAAACTGGGTTACTCGCTCAAATAGCTGAAATCCTCACCTTAAATACCATCTTCAGCTAAAGAGAAAAGAGGATGTTGCAGGTAGTGGTTTGAGACTTCAGAGAGGAGGAAGGAAGTTGACATTAAGATGGAAAAGTACATGTTTGATAAATGTTTGCTGGTCCATGCAGAGGCAATGAGACACGGAGTGGCTCTGATCTTTAGACCCTGCCAGGTTTCCCCCACTACACCTAGACCATATTCTTTGCAGGTATCTCTGGTGATAGCTCTGTTCCAAAACAAGCCCTTTATCTAAATTCTTTAGGCAAAAGAAAGAATTCTTTTGGGTCTTCTGTTTCTCAAAAATAATCAGCCTAAATTAATCCTCATGCCAAAGAGACATTTTGGGGAGACAAATTTTGCTCCTCCATGAGTTTTATGATGAATATCTTATGTTTATACTTCATAGTAATATTGTGTTATAACTTTAATAATTCTCTTGTAGAATAAAAAATTTAAATCTCCCACATGTAAGCCTACTGATATCATCTAATTTTGTCTGGTTATGAATCTCTTATTAAGTGCTCTCATATTTACTATAGGAAGCTTCAAATTTAGAAATATATAGATTTTCCTATATTAAAATTAAGCTTTAAATTTACCTTACTAACCAATTTTTAACAATGGAAGGAATAAAAACTGATGACATACCTTGTCATTTGTGTTTTTTACCACCTGAAATTTAACTATTTAATGGTTAAATACCAAATAATAGAACTCTCTCATTAAAGAAAAAAATTTTTTAAATAATTTGACTTTAACCAATCCTCAATATTGAACATAATCTTAGTTTTTAATGAGAACATGCTTTTTTCACCAAAAAATTTTTTTCACCTAATTATCCCTTTAGAGTTAGTGAATTAGTTAGACAAAATAAATATTAAAGATCATGTATGATTTTCTATTCTCAGAAAAACAAACTTCCTTTTCCTGTTTTTTAATTTTTAAATTAGCTTCTATACTTTCTTTACTTCTTTTACCATATGTAACAATCTCTACCTATAATCCAAAGCCACACATTACTTAACTACCTATACTTGCACTGGGTAGATAAAGTGGAAGAGAGAAAGAAAGAGAAGATTAGAAAGGTAGGCTGAGGTCAAATTTCTGAATTATCTTGGAGGCATTCCTAGGATTTCTGGGTTCATGATCCTTGAAATGTGTTGTGCCTCACATTTTATTTTATTTTAAAACTTTTAGGTACCTTGGCCTTCTCCTAAAGATTCTTATTTAAAAGATTTTGATGAGACCTTGGAATCTATAGTTTGATGAATCAAGTGATGCTGTTGCACTTCAGTATTTGGAAAAAACTATCTTTGACAGTGGATAGTCAGTGAAGGCTTTTGAGCACAAAAGTATAAGCAGAGATATGCTTCAGAAAGATTACTTTAGGAAATAATGGGTTTGTGGAGTTTGGAACATAACACAGAGAGACAAGTTAGAAGATGATTTCAAAAGGCCAAGAAAGAGGTAATGAGGGTCAAAGTCAGGACAATGGCATGAGAACTGGAAGGACAAGGAAGACTCAGTGATTCAATAAATATTTACAGAGCGCTTATTATAAGCAGGCATTGTTTTTTAGGTATTGTGAATGCAGAAAAAACAAAACAGAAAAAACATTTTTACTCCTGTGGACATTATATTCTATTGATATAAGACATAAAATAAACATATTAATTATATAGATAAATATAGATAGATAGATAGATATATTAAGTGCCATGGAGAAAAAAGCAATGAAGGAGGACATGAAGTCCAGGTGGAAAGAGAGGTTAAATAAGGTGATTTGGGATGGTTTTACTGATAAAGTAATATTTTAGATAAATATGAAGGAGGTGAAGTTTCAAGCCACTCAGTTATCTGGGGAAAGTCATTCCAGACAGAGGGTAATACCAACAAAATATCAAAGAATGGAAGTGTGCTAGAAACAGCAAGGCCTGTCAGTGTGGCTGGGATGAAGGAAGCAATGGGGAGAGGAGTAGGGTGTTACATCAGATGGACAGTGGGATGCCAGACTATTTAGAATTTTGTAGTTTCTTGTAAGAACTTTGGCTTTTGCCCTTGGCTGTGATGGAATACCATTGAAAGGTTTTGAGAAATGGAGAGACACATTGTGCTTTATGTCTTAATAGGATAACTCTTGACTGCTGTTTTGATAGACTTGATGGTGGGGGTGGGGATCAATGGTAGAAAGAGAAAGACTAGTTAGAAGAATATTGCAATAACCGATTTTCATATAGTGACACTTTGGACCTGTGATGGCGGTGGAGATAATGAGAATGTATCAGTTTCTTCAAATATTCTGAAGATAGAGACAACTGAAGTTTCTGACAATTGGAAGTGAGGTATGAGCAATAAGGAGGACATAAGGGTGTGTTCAGGGAAAGATGGAGTGGTTATTAAATGAGATGAGACAAACTTCAGGTGGAGAAACTTGGGGGGAAGAATATCAGGGGTCTAATTTTGACATGGGTAAACTTGAAATGGATATTAAGGCATCTAAGTAGAGACGTTGAGTAGGAAATTGAATCCTATAATTTTGGAGTTTGAGAGGTCAAGACTTGAGATAGAAATTTGGCAGTTCTCAGTTCATAGATGAGATTACTAAGGGAGTAGTCTTGACAGAGAAGAGAAGAGGTCTAAGGACAGATATTTGGAGCATTCCAACAATAAGATAATAGGTAGAAGAGGAGGAACAAATTAGAGACTGAAAAAAAGCACCAGTGAGTAAGGAGGAAACTTAGTGATTACAGTTTTCTTAAAAGCCAGAAGAAATTTTTTCAAAGTGGAAAGAGTAATCAACTGAACGAAACACTGCTGGTAATTCAAGCAAGAAGTCTAAAAATTGACCTTTGGATTAAATAACAATGAGATCTTTGCTGAACTTCTCAAGAAGAGGTTCTGTGGGGAGGTGGGAGTGAAAGTATTTCTGAATTATATTCAAGAGATAATGGGAGTAGAGGAATTGGTGCATTGAAGTGTTTTGCTTTAAAAGAGTCAAGAGGAGATATCAGATGATACAAGGAAGAATTTGAAAAGTTCAAAAGCAGAGGTATTTTGTGGTTACCTATCTCTACCTCTAACAAAATTTGTTAATATGTCTAGATTGATGATATCACACATGTGCCAAGAAGTTATGAAAAGCTTTATTGCTCATATAATGGTATATATACCATTATATATATATAATAATGCTCATATGATAGTAGGCCAGGCACAAAAACTTGAGCAAAGGGAGGGACTTCTGTTTTTACTTTGGTTAGAGGGTAAGGAGGCTAGAGTAAGTGTTCCTGTGTGGACTGTGTTTGCATAGTTCAATTCCTGCTGGTGCCAAGGGAAGGTGAGTGAAGACTTTCTTATTGGCTTTCTTAGCTGTGGGGCAAGAGGTAGGAAAAGATGGGGCTTGAAAACTGTCAGTGGTCAAACACCAAAAATGCAGTCAGACTGTAACAAAAGAGCTCAGTGACAAATTTGGGGTGGGGTTTTAGGAAATAATGAAGAAATTTCTCTAATTTGGAGAATAATGATTGAAGATATTGATGGCATTTAACCAAGACAGAAACACCCAATGAGGATCAGGTCACATCTAGAAATGCCAGCCCTTCTGACCATATGGAAGAAGCAAGAGGAAAAATGGAAGAAGGAAGGGCAGAAAGCCAAGATAAAGTAGTAAGTGCTGATTGCGTGAATTTTGGCATTTGGGTCTTGAAGAAATATTCTCCTGAATCCCAGTTTCTCTGTATGCAAACAGTTCTCACCTAGCTAGGGTTTTTAGAGTATGAGAAGCAGATACAAAGGATTGGGTTGCTTTAATGTAGCCTCAGGTGGTCTTTCTCTGGTATGAAGAATGGTGACAGCTTAAAGAGCTTAAAGACATTGTTATGTTTATCCCTTGAGGTAGAACCAGGATTCTGCCCCAAGGCTGCACTATTGTTTTCTGGCCGCCCGGCCCTTGTCTTTTCATCCCTTCCCTTCCCTGATTAGCAACTGTTCTAATCTGCCCTTTGAAACTCAGGGAAGGTCATAGAGGATGGAGTCAAGAAACAGGGGAACAGAAAAGCTTCCATACCCAGGAGCTTCACAGGGTCCTGCTTGGTTTCACTACAAGATTACCTGAGACCAGATTAGAGGAATGGAGGCCCTGGATATGCCCTAATCTTATCAGCAACCCACCCTTGAACTGTTGCTATAAAATTCCTTATCAAATCCTCCCAGGTTGGGACACATAATTTTTGAGAGGCACAAGCCCACTGTGTCCCCCTTTGCCTGGCAAAGAAATAAAGCTATTCTTTTCTCCTTCACCCAAAACTCTGTCTCTGAGGTTTGATTCGACACTAGTGTGCAGAGGCTGAGCTTTCAGCATCAGTAGGAACACTTAAATGGCAATTTTGATGAATTGCTGGAGGCTAAGTATGGGCTAGCAAGAGAGTGAGAAACTCATGGGAGCTTCAGTCTTAAGGATCCCCCTGACTTTCATGGGTTTTAACCTCTAGGAATCCCACCATGCTCTCATGTTGAAGAGTTGAAGAAGACCCGTCCTGGCTCTGCTAAGGGGCCTACAAGAGCAATCACTGTGAAATTCACCCAGAGCTTTCTCAATAACAAAGATTTCCTTCAGGAGGAAAAGACTTTACCAGAGCTTTTTCTCCTCTGGAGAAAAAAGCACTCCTCATACTCAAGCCTCCTCTAGACTTCCTGTATCAATTAAGCAAGGGAAAAGCCAGGAGTCAGTGCTGTGCCTCTGAGGTGGGAGAGCCAACTTCAGGACACTGGTCCACAAGAGACCTCCCAGCTCCACATAATATCAAACGGCGAAAATCACCCAGAGATCTCCATCTCAACACCAAGACCCAGCTTCACTCAACGACCAGCAAGCTACAGTGCTGGACACCCCATGCCAAACAACTAGCAAGACAGGAACACAACGCCATCCATTAGCAGAGAGGCTGCCTAAAATCATAATAAGTCCACAGACACCCCAAAACACACCACCAGACATGGACCTGCCCACCAGAAAGACAAGATCCAGCCTTATCCACCAGAACACAAGCACTACTCCCCTCCACCAGGAAGCCTACACAACCCACTGAACCACCACTGGGGACAGACACCAAAAACAACGGGAACTACGAACCAGCAGCCTGTGAAAAGGAGACCCCAAACACAGTAAGGTAAGCAAAACGAGAAGACATAAAAACACACAGCAGATGAAGGAGCAAGGTAAAAACCCACCAGACCTAACAAATGAAGAGGAAATAGGCAGTCTACCTGAAAAAGAATTCAGAATAATGATAGTAAAGATGATCCAAAATCTTGGAAATAGAATAGAGAAAAGGCAAGAAACATTTAACAAGGACCTAGAAGAACTAAAGAGGAAACAAACAATGATGAACAACACAATAAATGAAATTAAAAATACTCTAGAAGGGATCAATAGCAGAATAACTGAGGCAGAAGAATGGATAAGTGACCTGGAAGATAAAATAGTGGAAATAACTACTGCAGAGCAGAATAAAGAAAAAAGAATGAAAAGAACTGAGGACAGTCTCACAGACCTCTGGGACAACATTAAACACACCAACATTCGAATTATAGGGGTCCCAGAAGAAGAAGAGAAAAAGAAAGGGACTGACAAAATATTTGAAGAGATTATAGTTGAAAACTTTCCTAATATGGGAAAGGAAATAATCAAGTCCAGGAAGCACAGAGAGTTCCATACAGGATAAATCCAAGGAGAAACACGCCAAGACACATATTAATCAAACTATCAAAAATTAAATACAAAGAACACATCTTAAAAGCAGCAAGGGAAAAACAGTAAATAACACACAAGGGAATCCCCATAAGGTTAACAGCTGATCTTTCAGCAGAAACTCTGCAAGCCAGAAGGGACTGGCAAGACATATTTAAAGTGATGAAGGAGAAAAACCTGCAACCAAGATTACTCTACCCAGCAAGGATCTCAATCAGATTTGATGGAGAAATTAAAACCTTTACAGACAAGCAAAAGCTGAGAGAGTTCAGCACCACCAGACCAGTTTTACAACAAATGCTAAAGGAACTTCTCTAGGCAAGAAACACAAGAGAAGGAAAAGATCTACAATAACAAACCCAAAACAGTTAAGGAAATGGGAATAGGAACATACATATCGATAACTACCTTAAATGTAAATGGATTAAATGCTCCCACAAAAAGACACAGACTGGCTGAATGGAAACAAAAACAAGACCTGTATATATCCTGTCTACAAGAGACCCACTTCAGACCTAGGGAACATACAGACTGAAAGTGAGGGGATGGAAAAAGATATTCCATGCAAGTGGAAATCAAAAGAAAGCTGAAGTAGCAATTCTCATATCAGACAAAATAGACTTTAAAATAAAGACTATTACAAGAGACAAAGAAGGACACTACATAATGATCAAGGGGTCAATCAAAGAAGATATAGCAATTGTAAATATTTATACACCCAACATAGGAGCACCTCAATACATAAGGCAAATACTAACAGCTATAAAAGGGGAAATCGACAGTAACACAATCATAGTAGGGGATTTTAACACCCCACTTTCACCAACGGACAGATCATCCAAAATGAAAATAAACAAGGAAACACCAGCTTTAAATGATACATTAAATAAGATGGACTTAATTGATATTTATAGGACATTCCATCCAGAAACAACAGAATACACATTCTTCTCAAATGCTCATGAAACATTCTCCAGGATATATCATATCGTGGGTCACAAATCAAGCCTTGGTGAATTTAAGAAAATTGAAATCGTATCAACTATCTTTTCCGACCACAATGCTATGAGACTAGATATCAATTACAGGCAAAGATCTGTAAAAAATACAAATATATGGGGGCTAAACAATACACTACTTAATAACGAAGTGATCACTTAAGTAATCAAAGAGGAAATCAAAAAATACCTAGAAACAAATGACAATGGAGACATGACGACCCAAAACATATGTGATGCAGCAAAAGCAGTTCTAAGAGGGAAGTTTATAGCAATACAATCCTACCTTAAGAAACAGGAAATATCTCAAATAACCTAACCTTGCACCTAAAGCAATTAGAGAAAGAAGAATAAAAAACCCTCAAAATTAGCAGAAGGAAAGAAATCATAAAGATCAGATCAGAAATAAATGAAAAAGAAATGAAGGAAACGATAGCAAAGATCAATAAAACTAAAAGCTGGTTCTAAGCCCTGTTATAGATGGGGTGGTCAGGAAAGGCCTCTGTGAAGGAGTGACATTTGCAAAACCAGAATAGGTTGAATGAACCATGCTGATACTGGAAAAAGAATGTCCAGGCAGTAGAAACCACAGAGGCAAAAGTCCTGAGGTAGAAGCACGTATGTGTCCAAGGAAAAGCAGAGGCCAGTATGACTGGGGCACAGTGAGTATGAGGGATAGAAAGTAAACTGGAGAGGTGTCCGGGGACCAGATCATATAGGTCTCTGGGGCCCACTGTAAGGTTTCTAACTTTGAGTTTGAATGTGATGGGAAGCCAATGTAGTTCTACTATCTGGGAAGTGTATAATCAGACTTGAATTTTAAAAAGATCCCTGTGGATGCTGTCTAGAGAACAAACTGTAGAGGGGGAAAGAGTAAAAGCAAGGAGACCAGTTAGGAGGTCAGGAATTGAACTAGGGGAGTAGCTATTGAGGGGGATACATTTTAAATGTGGAATGGATAGGCTCAATTGGATTTGCTGTGAACTGGATTTGCTGTGTGAGAGAAAAAAATTTTGGTCTTAGGGATATAGTGATGACACTTGCTGATATAAGGAACACTGAAAATAGAGCAAGTGTGAGAGGTAAAATCAACAATTCAGTTCAGGGCATTGTTTGTGGTGCCTGTTCAACATCTAAATACAGATGCTGAATAAGTAATAAACATTTGTCAATGTATATCACTGGTGCCCCAAGGAATAGTAGGGGCTGGTGATATAAATTTTGGATTCATCAGTATATAGATAGCATTTAAAGCCACCGAGATGGATGAGATCAACTCATAACAGTATATTCTGGTTATAGGCACAGAACAAGAATTGAGAGTAAGTAATATCATCAGTTTAGACTTAGAAAATTTAATGTAGAAAATGTTAAAAATATAATAAGGAATGAAGGAAAGAAAAATCCTGTAGTATTTTAGGTACTTTATAGGTAATTAACAATGTTAAAAGTTCAAAAAAGCCTTTACTTGAGTCTTCTTAGACTATTGATTTATTGGCCGCTGTCGACTTATTTCTTTCCTTGTTAAAGTACCGATTTACTGAAGGGGAGAACAGAAAAATAGGATAGTGATGTTTTTTCTCCCTCTATTCTGTATTTGTAGCTTTCACACTATCAAGTAAAAGTTTATTTAATTATTCATTTATTTCACATTCTTAACCTAGCTCATTACTCTTTCCTTCCCCTTTTAAAATTTCTTCCTTTTGGCAGAATGTTAGGCAGCAACACTCATGATGATAGTGCTTAGAGCAATAGTAATTCCAATTGGTCTTTGTGGATTAGCATGATAAACAGTCAATGATAAACTCTGACTACTTTTCTTAAAAGTGCATTGCCAGCATAAACACTAATGAGTCCTTCGGAGCCATTATCATTTGCCTATGTCTTCGCCGGGCTGAGGCGAACATTCGAAGAGTATAGTATGCTGAGTTCAGGTTATATCTGAATCCCTTTATTGATCTGTTCTTCTAGTTCTTGATAAATTCTCAATACAAAAATTACAAAAATGTCCAACACACATATTATACAAATATGAAATATATTTTTATTTGTA